GGCGGTTTCCGTTGGAATTTTTTGATGAAATTTTTTGAGCATCTTCTTCATTAAGTCTAGTTTAGTCATACCAAATTTCAGCTAAAAATTCAATCGAGAAGACAGTCAAAAACGTAATGAAAAAGATGCTCAAAAAAATTCATTAAAACTGCACAGTTATATTCAAAAATTCATTTGACTGTCTTCCCGATTGAATTTTTAAGTGCAATTTGGTATGAGTAAACTAGATTTAATGAAAAAGATGCTCTAAAAATTTCATTAAAAAAGTCCGCCAAAATCCGCCCCAAATGTCGACGGCTGGACAGAGCCTTCTGTAAAAGGGCTTATTTGCACTTTTTATGAAAGTTCGAGGGCTTATTTGATAGTTCTCCCTATATGTAAAACAAAAGGGGTTTTCCCCGGAATATTACTAAACTAAAACTAATTTTCAAAAATGTGATCATATTTACATCCTTATGTTAGATTTCATAAAACTAAGCTAAAATTCTCAACACGCAAGGGGTATAGACCCGCCCCTAGAAAGGGGACGAGGATACATCGCGAATCTATCCCAACAAACGCGTAACCCTCAGGGTTGTATGGTCAGGATGCATCCGTGAAATTTATCGGATAGCGGCCATGTTTCCCCAAAAAAAACATTGTGTGCCCCAGAGCAAGCCTAGGTCATTCAAGTGTTAGGTTCGCTCACTTAGTCTTACTTTTGGGGCTAAGTGATGCGCGAAATGTAGCGAAGGAGGAGGTGTCAACGACACCTTGTGCCTATCGTTGTCCTTAGTCACTCTATATAAATACACAATGCCTCAATTCAAAATTGGACAGATACGGGGCGATAAATGCACCAAGGTTAGACATTTGGTGTAATATCTACGTATACTACTATAAGTGGTCAGGTAAACCATGCCAAACGAGGAATGGTCGCAGCGTGGTCTCATAAAATCAAAATATTGGTCAAATAATTAACTATGCTATAATACTAAACAATAACGAAAGGAAAATAAGACGTGCGTCATTATTATTTTATGAAATGCAAAACGTGTTTAGCAATTCAAGTACTCATAAGGAAAGACATGTCGGAATTGGAGTCTACACTACGCCCATCTATCAGCCCCGTGGACGCTCTAAAGCACGGAAGCGATCAAAGTTGGGGTGATCAAAAGTGAATGACATATGAACCCCTTTATCTTTATCGGAGGGGGGGTCACCAAGCTCCTCCTCAGTAGGGGATCTGGAAAAAGGAATGTCCTCCCGAAGGGAATCAACCAACGAGATCTCAGGATTGGGAACCTCAGGAGGAAGTCCCAAATCGTTGATGCAAGAGGTACCAGCCTTATATATTTTCTGTTGAGTGGCATATATCCCGACCTGGTAGGAAATGTAGCTCTCTAAGGCGAGTTTCTCACGGCCATCTGGAGTAGACAACCAACGTTTGCTAATGTCACCAAGGTGGGCATTGATGTAAGCTTCCCGATCAGACACGAACTCTGAAGAACTCTTGTATGCATCCATGGCCTGACCCCTCGCACTCGCTAACTCCACGGCGTGCATGTCTTTAAGCGTCGCGAGCTCGGCTGCATGTGAGTCATGACTAAGCTTGAGTGAGGCCACCTCTTTTGCTAATTCGGTAAGTTGTAGCAGCAATTCTTGTTCACGCTCGTCTTTCCTTCGGTTCACCTCGGAGATGGATGTGAGAAGCTACAAAAAAAATAGTATCACAAGATGCATAGATGAAAAGTGGCGGGGAAATAGGAATTTTACCTCTGCCAGACCATGGTGACTCTTCCTCTCTAGAGCAATGTTGTCAAGTGCTGAAATCTATTCCTTCTCGGTCGCTGGAATTGTCTGTGATAAGAGCGGGGGCAACTCGATGTTACCTCGTAACCAGGTAATCATCCCCGTAGTGGGAATGTCACCCATGCTCCGGGTGATGCGAGCTGCGGTACTAGGAGCCTTGCGTTTCGACACGGATGAAGGCACGGTTACGATAGCATCCTTGCCTTTTGTGACGGAGGGAGCCCTTGGTTTCTTGTCGGTGCGCCCCTGGTCACCAACCGCGAAGTCCATCCTTGTCGAAACTTTGGAACATCTCCAACCTCGACATCATATCTGCAAAAAAGGAGGTATGCATATGTGTTAGTTAATATATATGTGTGTGTTATCTTCTATAGACAAGGTAACTGTGGACAACCTTGATCAGTGGACGTGGATGCGTGTGCACCCGAACATGGTGACGGCGAATGGAGTCCAACCGTGATAAGGCGGTCCTCGGAAGTAAAAGCTGAGAGGCTATATGGTCCTCCAGAAAGAATCATAGCCGGCCATGTCTCCTGGCCAGACAGAAGTTTCGGGTATGATTACTTCATAAATCGACAATTCGAACACGATGGAAAAGGTAACGGGAATCCAGATGACACATACAAATTCTTCTTTCCAATTAACTTCGTTGCTATGAGTGACCTTCCACATGTCAAAGTGGTTGCGCTGTGAGATAGACACCCAGGATAGACTATCAGATGCCGAGCACTGCCCAAGTCGGAACATATGCTTGAAGAGGTCTAGGGACGGTTCAATCCCAAGTGTTTTACACCGGACCAAGAAAGCTACCAGATACTGATGACCGATCGGAGTCAAGTGACAAGGTGAAATTTCAAGATCATTTAAAAACTCGATGATCAAAGGGTGTGTGGGGAAGCGAAATCCTAGTTTTATGGAAAGAATATGCACCTCGAAAAGGCGACCCTTGGGAGGATCGGTTACAGTATCCTCCGAATTTGGACATCGGACAGTCACTGTGGACGGAAAAAATTTCTTATACTTTTGAAACTTGGGAACTGAGAGGCGCGGCCTGCAGTATGGAATGGGGCTCGGGTCTAAGGATGAATACGGACCGCGGTTGCGACGTTTTGGTGGTTTGACTGAAGTGGCTAGTGGCTTTACAGGACTAATTTCTTCAACATCAGAATTAACATCTGTCAAGGGATGAGGAAAATTCTCCAACACTAATTCACCGACATCACTCAATAATTCATCAGAATCTATGGAATTTAATATGTCCATGGATTGATAGCAGCTATTCACAAAAAAAATTATTATTAAAAAAAATGTCAAGAATGTGGCCAAGGCAGCTATGGTCAAAGCAAGGCACGGCTAAAGCAAAATCAACATTTAACTATGGTCAACACAAAATTAATACATAGTGATATTCATTTACTTAGTTGGGGAAAGAAGAATCAAATCAAATCAAAATAAAAGGAAAGAAGACAAAACCAGTGCTTACCTGTGTGTGTGACCTAGCAGCCGCGGTGCAGGATCCAGAGCAGACAACGAAGACGGTCGAATCGGGATGGACGGCCAGAGTAAGGGGGCGACGGCGCGAGTGCTAGACGGCAGCGGTGAACAGTACTGGTCGTCACCGGAAGGCGCCGATGTCTGGCGAGTGCGAGTCCGACACTACAGGGATGACACCGGTGGGGCTGAGGTGTTCTGTTCGCTCGTGGCAACCGTCTGGGGCTGAGGGAGTACGACGGCGGGCGACAACTTCCACCGTGGGTAGCCTGGTCACGCGATTGGACGCTGGTGGCGGCGGGCGTCGTTGACCATGATGGTTGGCGGCGAGCTGCGACCTGGGATATGGCAGAGGAACTGATCGTGGCCTGCAATTTTATCTTGAAGGTTGGGTAAAATTAATTTTAAGTAATGGAGAACACCATGGTTATAAGATAGAGGTCTAAATGATTGAAGGGGTAAAAAAAAACAAAATGTGACATGGTGACCATTTACCTCTATAGCCACAGGAATTGTGTCTCTGTACTCCTTATAGCCAATATGCTATTTGGCTTAAGGAGTGGGGGGCTTGTGATGGTATAATTATATTAACCATGGATAAATGTTGACCGGGTTAACATGGATGAAAACAGGTTGAAAGTTGATGTGCACGGTAACTATGTACGAATGATGATAAGGTATAAGAGGAGCTCATATGTGGTGACCACGCGCGAGTTAGAGGATAAAAGATTATACATGGTGACTATGGACGGAAGTTAGTAGAAGACCAGGGAGTACGGAGTAACCGTGGATGTCATGGTAAGCTTATCCAAAGAGCACGTCCACAGCAACCATGGACGCAGGTAGAAGACCAGAGTGCACTATAGCCTTGGATGCCATGTCGAGCTTATATATAAAAATGTCCATGGCGACCTTGGACATAGTAATAGAAGCTTATCCAAATAATCTATACATGGTGTCTCTGGACATCATGGCGAGAGCTACATGGCGACTCCGTACGACAAACTACATCAATGACGTCTTTTCAAGATATTCGCACAATCAACAAAGGATTCCGCGGATCCGGATTATTGATTTGCATATCAATTCGAACATGGCGACCACGTCGCCCAAATCTTTTATGTCTTATTTTCTACTATAAAATCATGTAATCTTGGGAAAGTTAAGGAGGCTGAATACATTTGAATACAATACATACAATTATCTCTTTAAGTATTATTCTGAGTGCTTTAATTATTTTCGGCTATCTATTAATTATTTTCCGGTGGATTTAGTTCCATCAGTTTCAAAACAAAATTTGTATAATTAAATCTAACTTCTCAACTCCAACAATGTAATTTGGTATAATATTTACAATTTGAAACAAATGGACTAATTTGTTGTAAAAGGTATCTTATTTGCATTGAAAAAAGATGACACATTACCGAAATAAGAGTAAAACGTTTTAGAATTTCGAAATAGGATTGCTATATTTATATTCCCTAAATAGAGGTAATTACTATGAAGTTTGAAAAATATTGTTATGTTTAACGTTCACTACTGTCAAAATATGGCAATAGTTATTCTCATATAGAAAGTAAAAATATGAAAATGCTATTTTGAAATACACAAACATTTTTAATCCCATTTAAGCCAATTTCTGATATATATCGAGGTTGAAACATGAAAGTAAAGGCCTCATCTTTGTTTTGTGTTACATACCACTATACCAGTCATGCAAAAACAGGCCGAATTCTAAAATCAGGCCCAATTCGTTGCCCGATGCATATGGCATAAACTCTCTACGTCAAATCCGCAATTTTGCATTTTTTACCCATCGACTAGATCAAAAGGGCAGATTGAGCACAAACTCCCGAGAAGTTAAACCTCGACTGTGAAAATCATGGTTTCCAAGGAACTTATCTCCTTCTTCATTGTGGCCACGCTCTCCTTCAATCTCAGGGTAAAGCTTCATTACTTGTTGCTGTCAATGGCGTTCACAAAGCTTTTATTATTTGGTCATTTCCTTGCTCAAAAACTAGAGTATTGAACCTATTTTGAACAGGTTGATGCTGATCCATCAGTCCCCAAATCCCCTTTCTCCATCGATCTCGACACCCTTCAAGATCAACTGAAGTGAGTCCGCTCTCCTCGTGTGGGTGGGTTGTTTAAATTTCTGTAATTTATGGTCAGACCCATTTTTTTTTGTTATTTGAAATTTGAATGCATATGATATCTTTTTTTTAATTTGGTTTTTATTTTCGAAATTCGTATGCTGCTTTTTTTACAGTAATACTAAGCTACTTAAATACTACCTCTGTTTCTCAAATTAAGTTTCCAGTTTCACTTGTTGAGTCAAACTTCATAACTTTGACCTTTAATTCAAAATGTATAGTTATTTTTTTTTTTGGAAAAGGAAAATTTTATTGATGGAGTAAACAAATAACAAAGTAGAAGGTTCAAAGGCGAAGGTTCAAAATGTATAGTTTGTTAACAACGTGTTCTTACACTTTTAGAAGGCTTTGCGCTTACAAAATAAATTAGGCCTTCTATAATAATAATATCCATAATTTCAATCTAGAAATATGTTTCAAATATTGCGATATGATATTCATATTTTTCAAATTGAAAAACTAAGTAGTTTTTGTTTAAATAAAAGAGCTTTTATATACTAGACTATAATTTCAAAAATTAGACCTAAACTCATAGTAGGCTCCCGGATGGGCATGAGCCCAAGTACCCAAAGCCCTTATACGTTTGTTAGCATTTTTAAATTTGCCTGGCGTAGCATGATCATTCTTCAAAGCAGATACATCTTGAAATTTGTGCTCATTTTTATTTTTAGTCTGATCTGATTGATCTTTTGTGTGTTATTGACTCTTAATACTATATTATAAAACATAGAATTTATCCTGTATGGTAAATCTTTTTGGAGTCTCATATGTTGTTTAACATCTTTATATTTTGATAGTGTGGAATTACTTTACACACAAGCCTATAGTTCGGTATGTTAATAATTCCAAAAAAAACTTATTCTATGAAAACCAAGAGCCCAACTATAATAACTTTAAATCGTGTTTTGAGAGCAAAAAAAAAATAGACCCAATAATTTGGGACGCAGAAGATTTTATCACTAATCTTGTACCTAGGTTGTACAAAAACAGGACCGGCCTTGCGTAAATTCGGACACTCGATGCTATGACACTTCTTGCATGCCACAATAGACAGCCCTAGGCAGTCAATTCATTTATTATTTAAATAAACTGGAGTAAGGTTTTGGCTTCAATGTTTAAATCAATTTTGTGTTTTAGCTGAAGGTGCACATTGTTATTGTTTATGTTTGGATGGTACAAACAGCTATAAATTTCAGAATGTTGGATTGCTTCGACGTGCTATGACGCATTCATCATACTCAGAGGAGAACAACAAAGCTTTGAGTATTTTGGGAGAGGAAGTAATGGAGACTTCAGTCTCAATGCAATTGCTGGTAAAAAACATCGATATCTCGTCCAAGGATCTGAACCAGGAGATTTCTCAAGTGTCAAAGGTTGAGACTTCATGTGCAGTGGATGGAAAGAGGTTAGGTTTGCAGAACATAGTTCGGGTTTCGTCCAAAACGAATTCCACAACTCCATCTGTCGTCTGTGGTGCTCTCCGTGCACTTTTTGGGGCAGTGGCATTGGACACTGGCAGTGCAGATGGTGCGGGGAAGTTGTTTTTGAAAGTTCATTTGGAAGATGCTGGGAAAGGTCGCATTGGGGATGTAAGGAACACACTTAATATGATGAGTTAACACAAATGCTAAAGGTACCCCAAAATGTACCCCATTTTTACCCCCACCCCCTAATGTGTGGCCATAAATGGGGCAATTCATTTAAGTGGGGCACCACTTAAATGAATTGGCCCATTTATGACCACACATTAGGGGTTGGGGTAAAAATGGGGTACATTTTGGGGTACTCCTAGCAAAACTCATGAGTTAAATGTCTCTATGTGGTAGGCAGACTTGTCTTATCTTTTGTTTGAAAGTTTTAAGTAGTTTTATGTATGTAAATGTGAAGGAAGATGGATTAGACACTTGTTAGGTAAGCTTAGCATATGCAGTGAGCACTTTAATTGTGGTGGAGTAACTGAGTAATCTGCTTAACCTGTGATAGGCATGGACCGGTTCCGGTTCGGGCCCGGTTCGGGCCTGGGCCCGGCCGGGTCTCGGTTCAAGGAGGGGAGGCCCAGAACCGGCCCGGGTAACCCCCGGGTCTGGGCCGGTCCGGTTCCGGGCCGGTTGGCCCGGCCCGAGTCCACCCCTAACCTGTGATATTCCTTTAGATTGCGTGTTTATATTGTCTTTAATCTTTATGTTATTGTTATTATTATTGTTGTTGTTGTTATTATTATTATTATTATTAATTTTCTGGTCTGGTCTAATTTGGTTTTTGTGTATGTTATAACTGTTCAATTCTGATCTCATCTGGTCTCGTCTGGGACAAAAAGCAGTCAAGTAAAAATCCTTATTATAGCATGTTGTGCTCCATTGATGTTGAATTGAAGAGGGTGTGTTCCTCATTGCCTAGTAAATTAATGAAGATGAAAACACTCGCTAAAAGAAGAAATATCCAAATTATAATGCACCATGTTCGTCTAAGAAATCAGTGGAATTTACAATTTCCTTCTCGGGCAAATTGCTTGAAATACTTTTTGGTCAGCGGTAGCAACTGAGGCAGTGTTAATCTCTTCCATAATTAACATTACGAAAAACAATAATTAGAATTATCTACAAAATAAATAACCGAATGAAATGAAATGGTATGTATTATGGCATAATGACTAGGGATGGCAACGGGGCGGTTCGGGGCGGGTTAGCGGGTATATCATTACCCGTACCCGCCTCGTTTGATAATATTTTTTCCCAAAACCGTCCCGTTACCCGTTACTCCTCAGCATTGGCAAGGATAGCAGATTAGTTGAATATTTTTCAAAAAAAATAGAGGGAATTATACTAATGTACTACTATTCTTTTTTTACTAATGTACTACTATTCATATATACTTAATATATTAAATAATAAATACATAAACTATTAAAATATGTAAGTTAATTGTGCGGGTCTGGTAATGGTGCGGGTAACCGTATCCTAATTAAACGGGGCGGGTAACGGGGCGGGTAGATATAAACCCATAACCACCCCATTACCCGTTTACATAAATCGGGTATTCCCCGCCCCGTATCCGTACCCGTTACCCAGTCAAAGCGGGTTTCCCCATTTTGACCGGTTTGGTTCGGTGCGGGTATCCATTTGGTCGGGTTAAATTGTCATTCCTAATAATGACCCACAATGAATGATTGTACCCTGCGATTACATTGGTAATGCTTCCTCCTACAACCAAACTTTGTTGTTCAAGACTTTTATGTTCACCAAGTCCATCTCCCGCATAACTTGGTTGTTCACAAGTTTGACATTCATTCCTTTTGCTTGGGTGTTCACCACTTTCATCTTCACCTACAGAGTCTTATACTTATCCCTTACAGGCAAATTAACTTCCCCTCCTGCTTCCATGAGTGAGGTTTAAGAGGATGTCCCAATATGAATTTGAAAGGATTCGTAATATCTTCCGGAGTTGAGAGAGGGGGACGCGGATCGCTCTCAGATTATTTCCCCTTATTCTGCTTATCACTTATTCGGCTGAAATGGATGTAACTAAATGTTTTTCTTTTTCAGGAATTCAACATAATCGGTTTCAGTGAAATTTGAATTCCCAAAGAAACCCTACTAAATGTTGACTATACTAAGACAATTCATTCTTTTTCCTCTTATATATGTCATACAAAGTCTATTCTATATTCAGTTGAAAAATTGTTCAAACATCCAATTTAAAAAATGGCCATTGAAAGTTAAAAAATGGTTTGAATTGAAACTCGCTCGAAATGGCCAATTGAGGCATATGATCGAGGAAATTCCCATTCTTGACGATTTCTAGAACAAAATGAAAAAATGTGAAAATATCATAAAAGTTCTAGGAGAAACATGAAAGTATCCGTCTTTTTACTACAGGGAAATTTAGTGAGATAAAACAAAGAATCAAACCAAGTCAAGAAACAATTAACAAACATTTGTTGAAAGAAACTGTTGAATTATGATTAGTCACGAGGATCAGCAGGGGGCATATGAAAGAACCCAAATCTAAGACACAAATTTAGAAAGAAGAAACACTCACCATAGGTTGAGCAGTGTGCTAAGATCCGTAAAAGATGGTCCTAATATAAACTAACCGAGAGAAATACCTCTAGAGTCTAGAACCAAAATTCCAGAAATGAAGAAAGTTCACAAGAACACAATTGGAATACAGAAATCCAAATCTTTCCCAAGAAGAACACACCCCAACTTCTTAATTAAAGAATGATTAGAAAAAAAGAACTTGCTATCAGAGGGCCTTTTAGTCGATCCTGAGAAAATAGTACACACGTGCTTTTTCCGATCTTAAAGATATTTACTGTTTAGGAATCCAGTCAGATAAAAAGAAGGAAATACCTAGTCTCTTAAAGAGTACCCTCCTTTGGAACTGTGAAAGAAACATCGGTTTATCTGGTTGAAATGAGGGAGGTAGTCACCCCTTATGTGAACTATGTTTGCTGAGGGTGAGGGTGAGGGTGGGGTGGGGTGCATGTTATTTTTCACGCAAATTATACCGTGGGATCGGCCCATCATGAGCATGGTGTGCCGATCCCCAAAACGGCATAGTTTCATTCATTAAAACAAGCAACGAACCCCATTTTTCCCGACTTATGTGATTAAAAAACAGAGAGCTGATAACAACAAGCAACAAAACATTCATCGTTATTGCCGCTGGGATCGTTAGTGCTACAAAACCTTCTTGGGAAGGTTTAATCATGAAAAATATAAAGATTTAGGGGAAGGCTACGGGCAACAGTGGCGGATCCAGGATGAGAACTTATTGGGGGCAGAAAAAAATGCATCACAAAAAAGATTAATAAAGTAGTAATGTAATATTACAATAATTAAAGTCTTACCAAATACATCACAATTGTTCGCGGCGAGTTTTCATCTTTTGAAAGAGATCCATTACAGTTTCATTTGTAACAGTTTCAAACACATCTCTTTCAATAAAACAAGTCAGACAATCACTCAAATACCTATCGCCAATTCTATTGCGCAAATTACTCTTCACTATTTTCATAGCGGAAAAGCATCTCTCTACGGTTGTTGTGGCAACTGGCAAAGTCAATGCTAACTTTAAAAGCTTATACACCAAAGGATGTGAAAGATGTTTCCTTGTATCCACCATCACTCGAGCAAGATCACCAAGACTTTTCAATCTAGCAAACCTTTCATCCGCTAACACATTGTCAATGTAAATACTGACTTGATGCTCAAGAGTTCTGCGTTCCACATAACTGAAGTCACTTGGATAAAATTCAGCCAATCTCAACAACTTTGAAGCATCAAACTCACGGAAGGAATCAATCGGACTCAAAGAGGCCATGCAAAGAAGTAGCTCAGAATTTACCTCATTGAAACGGTCATCAAATTCACTAATTTGCAAATCCATTATGGTATTAAAACATTCATACTCATAATGATGCCGATTAGTGATATTAGTTCTTTGACGTGGCCTCCTTGGGTTAACAAAGTCCTCATCCATATTAAGCACAGAAATTTCATGCTTCTCACAAAATTCTAAGATCTTCCTCAAATGTGAATCCCATCCATCAGCTCTTACCTTAAGCAATTATTGCTTTGTTGTTTTCACAAGTGAAACAACATTCAATATGTCTTGATCTTTCTTTTGAAGAGCCACTGACAAAGAATTTGTGAGTCCCAAGATAAGCAACATCAACTGCAAATAAAACACAAATTTGAAAATATTTCTACAGATTTTCATCACCATATAATACTGATAATCCGATAATCGTGATGATCGACTGGTTTAGAGCACCATAAATACATACTCCGGGGTAGCTTTTTTTGAGAGACCTAAATAGACTCTAATTAATTACTAAATATTAACTACACAAATACACAATAGGAAAGTAATCAACACTCCAAATCAACACTCCAAATCAAGTAATCAACACACCGTAATTGATAAAATATGACAAATTAAAGTGAAAAGGCTTACCTAGTTTTGATTTCCGGCTTGGAATTGGCTAAATGGCTTCTGCCGTTCTGGTCCAGCCGTTCAGTGGTTCTGCGCCTCTGCGGCCGAGTTCTTCAGACTTCAGGTCGGTGGTCGGACTCCTGTTTTGGCCTTCTGGCTTCTGCGTCTGCGTCTGCGCAAGAGAGTCGGGGGGACGGGGTCACGGGGCTAAGGGCCTATCTTGGAACGGGCCGGAAGATTTTGGGTTATTGGGGGCAGACCATTTTTTTAATTGGGGGCAAACAACTGGGCTTTTAATATTTTTTAAAAAATTAAAAGGGTTTAATGGGCCTTTATTGGGGGCAGCTGCCCCCCCCCCCCCCCCCCCCCCCCCCGGGCCTTAGTGGATCCGCCCCTGACAGGCAACTGGAAGGCTACTACTCTGGAGAAAATCATGTGTTATATAAACGATTTATGTATAAACATCAATTGGAAAGGCTATTATGGAGGTTTTGGTGGGAGAAGCTCAATTAATCCTCGCTAGATGAAAAAAATTGAGTTAAAACGCAACTAATTAAATACGGTATAACTTCGTCTCAATATTAATACATGAAGTTACATCTTTTTATGAATGATTTACATCTTTATGTGCATGAGTTACATCTTCTTATAAGTAAGTTACATCTTCTGAAAGCACGAGTTACATTTGAATTAAATTTGTAATAACATGAGTTATATCAAAAAATCATCCCTAGCTATTAAAACAAAAAAAATGAGTTTTTTAAATCCTTTTGATGGTCATATATTAAAAACAAAACATATTCACTGTTTACGTAAAGTAACTGTGTAGTTAGACTCATTTTTTCATTATTTACATTCAAATCAATGTTTTAGTTCTTAATTTGACAAGTTACATTTCGACTGCACTTGAGTTACATGTATCAATAACGTGAGTTACATTTCTTTACATGCGAGTTACATCATTCATGTTACTGGGTCAAAAAGAAAAAAAAAATTACTGTACACGCGGAACCACTAGAGGGTGTAATATGAGTTACATTCCAGGCAGCAAGTTACATTTGTAGTTAACTGAGATTACATTTTACAACAACACGAGATACATTTCAATACATAGGATTTACATCACATAAAATATTGAAACAAAAATTAAATTACATATTTTTACACGCAAATGTTAATATGTTAAAATTACATAGGCAATATTGGTCTCATTTGAAAGATCATGAAAAATAAAAAAATTTGATATAAATTTTATAAAAATCGAATCAAAAATAAACAAATTATTAACAATTTTAAGAAAAGGAGATACAAAAAATAACAAAGGGTGCATGGTGCTCACCATGCACCGGTTCCACGGTATAACTACGGTATTTTTCATGTCTGAGTGGATGTGGGGTAGGGATGGGTGGGAGGATTGGAGGAGGGTAGCTTGATAGAGGATAAAAACAAGAAGATAAATAGAAAAAGATGGATTTTGTTGTAGAAAATACAATTTAACTGCCAGCTACCACTTAATCTTCTTCATCAAGACTCACATTTCCACAATGAAACTGAAATCTGTTTATATAGAGCCAAGAAACTTGTGTCATTAAAGAGATTACAACAATGTAAACTGTTGTTTGGTTTTTTGTTTGAATGTCCCACCAAACATACTTTGCTTGTTTCATGCACCCGACATTAAGGTACTATGTTTGGTGCTTATACTGTGCACCTGGCGGTTTGGTGCTTGTTTCGTGCATCTGATGGTAAGGTTTTATGTTTGGTGCTTGTTTCGTGCAGCTGACGGTAAGGTTATGTGTATGGTTGGTGCTTGTTTCGTGCACCTGGAGGTAATGTTCGGAGCTCGTACTTTTTTCGTGCACCTGGGGGTAGGGTTCTATGTTAATTTCATGCTTGTTTCATGCACTTTGCTTAGTTTTTTTGGGTGTACATTCTCACACATTATATTTTATGTTCTATTAAAAGCTAACATTCTTGATTAAGATGATTTTCAGGCATTTGACCTTCTCTTTGAGAGCATCACATTGATTTCATCGAATCATAATGTACTTGATGCTTTGCTTAGTTAGTTATGTGAACCAATTAAAATATTACAATTAAACAATTAAAATATAAATAAATGATGAAACATAGACCAATCATATGTTTTATACATACACTACCCTCTCTTTTTGATAGAGTACTTAAACCTTATGCTATAATTTATTTTCTATTTAGAGCACTTTTGAAGAAATATATCAAATCAAATGATTGATTTTATTGAATTTGTTGTTTCATTTATTCTAAAATATTTTTGACTGTATGTATTCATTAGCATATACTCCCTCCGTCCCTCTATTATTGTCCCATTTCCTATTCACTTGGTCAACACAAATTACTCTTAATCTCTTACTTTATTTATCAATTTTTTATCAAATTTGATTCTGGTTTTTGCGACTTTATAAAACTTTTAATGTAGATTCTGAATATGCAAAAAAAAAAATCTAAAAATAATTCTAGTGCGGACATGGATCTGTTTGCTTTATCGTCAGTCAAGCATCGTAAACCGCAATGAGACAATAACAGGGGGCGGAGGTAGTAGTGAATATGGACCCCTAATCCCAAATTGTTTTACTAAATTATTTTCAAGTTTTGATTACTGCTACATCCATTCAACTAACATTAAGACATAAGCAGGTAGGTCATGAAGGGGAGGCCCGGAACCGGCCCGGGTAACCCATAGGTCCGGGCCGGGCCGGGCCAGGCCGTGCATAGGTTCTATTTTTTTTTGGCTTTTCCTAGTTAACCCCCAACCCCCCCCCCCCTCACCCCCAAACCAACCCTAATCACCTCAAATGGCCCAAAATACCCAGCCCAACCCAAAAACTTAAAAAAATCAAAAAAAAAATTGGCTCGGCCCGGGCCCGAACCGGCTGGGCCGGTTCACCTTTTGAAGGGCCCGAGCCCGAACCGACATCCCACCGGGCCGGGTGGCCCGAACCGGCCAACCAACCGGTTCACCGGGCCGGTCCGGGCCCGCACAGTAGCGGGCCAGTCCGGTTCCGGGCCGGTTGGCCCGGCCCGAGTCCACCCTGAAGGTCAGTTGTTAAGAAAAATGAGTTTGTGTGGATAATATTGAATTGAGAAAGTATGAATAAAGTAAAAATTATTTAGAATCACACTAACTTTACCAAATTTGGAATGAGACCATCTTAGTGAGACACACCAAAATGGATAAATGGACAATCTTAGTGGGATAGAGGAAGTATTAATTCAGTATAAGATTAATTAATTGTTCACTCACAACTTTTAAGTTAATGATTGAAATAAAAAATTAAATATTAAAAAATGAAAAGTTATATTGAATCGCTAATCTCATTTCAAATCTTAGAATGATTACAATTTTTTATTTAAAATTAGATAATATACTTCTTTCGTCCCTTAAAACTTTGTCAACTTTTTTTTGGATGTGACACTAACTTTGTTTAACATTGGATCCAGATGGAAATATAAGATCTTTTATCGTACATTTTGAATTTTTGGATGCGTCTACCAGTCTATGATTCAACGTGTAAATAAGTAAATTAATGCAGTCTTTATTGTTCATTTTGTTAAATATTGCTGTGTTTGATATATACTCCCTCCGTCCCCTTTTAAATGTCCCATTTTATCATATTGGGATGTCCCTATTTAATTGTCTCATACCTTATTTGGTAAAGTTTGTGTGGCTCAAAATCATTTTTACTTTATTCTTACTTTCTCTATTAATATGAACCACACAAACCTACTTTTCTTAAAACTCGTGCCACTCTCTTCCGGAACATTTAAAAGGAGACGGAGGGAGTACTATCTAATTTTTAAGGCATGTTGCAAGTTTAGTACAGATTGAAAAAATAAATACTCTCTAATAATAAATACAAATATTTTGTATTCATTTCAGTCTAGCAACATGCCGGTTTCAATAGCGTAAATTTGCAATTATAAATTTTGCATTCCGATCAAAAGCTCTGTCTATCAATTTCTGTTAAAACCCGTCTCTGTTTGATATAAACTCCCATGGAAGACAATGGATACTATTCATTCGACGATGTGGAAGCGGGAAGCAAGACGGCGGAAATACAATCCCAGAAGCGGCAGCGCCGTCGCAGATTGAGGTGGTGGAATAAGATCCGAGGAATCGGCGCCCTGAAAATGCTCCGGGAATGGAGGACCTTCATTCGCCGGATAAAGAGAACCGGAAGCAGAGGGCAGCGAGAAAGTTTCCGGTACGATCCTCAGAGCTACTCACTGAACTTCGATCAAGGGCCGGAGCAAAACGGCCGGAACTTGGAGGGGGAAAATGAGTACGGCTACCAGAACTTCTCCGCTAGATACGCGTCGATTCCGGCGTCCGGCAAAGATGGGCCCAGGTTCATGTGAGTGCGCGGCGTTCTCTATCTTGCGCCGTTGTTGAGATATCTGCGGCAGGGGTGGTATAGCGCATGACTTGGTATGCAGGGTCAACTGCACAGTTAGTTTAACACGATTTACTTCACTAATTTTCTTTTTTTCATACTAGTAGATAAAATAATTGCCGTAGAATTTTCCTTAATAAAATAGTTTTTGCTTTACTATCCTCCGTTTAAATGACAACATGTTGAATTTTACACTATTCACATCCTCTACTTTCACTGCATTTTACGCTATTATTTTATGAAAATTATTTATTTTTAAAATATTGTCCAATTCATCTCATTACAAATATTCAATGACCAGTCCGTTGGGCATTGAATCGTCCATAAATTGTCCATTTAACGCAGCATTAAAAGAGAAGAACGTTGGGCATTAATTGTTGTCGGACGTATCTTTGAATGATAGGTTTTCGGACGACATTCGTGTCCGCAGGCCGCCCGCGCACACGAGTCGCGGTTTTTCTTCTCCGTTTCGGGATTTGATCGGCACCCCCCCCCCCCCCTGCGCGTAAGAGAGAGTCTTTCCCTTTAGGAATCTTAACTCCTTAAAAGAGGCTTCCCTTTATAAGGGGTTGAAAATCCCTTGAGTTTTTCGGTGTGGGATAAAACACACTAGAAACTCACCATTTTCCCAGTTTTTCCATTTCAACGAGTGAACTTCGAGAATCAATTTCTCATTCACCCGGTATCCGTTTTGAGTGTACCACATATCGAATTGCAGCCCTTAACAAGGACAATCCGAAACCACTTTGACCCGACCCAAATCGGAAGTGGACCCCACTCAAATAATTGCCCCAAAATGACCATTTAATGCAATTTTTTAACACATTTTTCAAACAATCCCCCACATGAATGAAAATTGATTTTCGGGACTTAAAAAGACACGAAGATAGGAGGACACATTGTGTTCACCGGATGATCCTTGCATACGGAGAGGTAGGTTTTATCCTTTGAACCTTCCGTTGTAAAGACACGTTTATTTACTGGCTGTCTAGTAGACTCGATGTCCTTGAACTATACTGCCGTCGTGTAAACATTGACTTATCTTTACACAAGAGCCTTCCAACTTTGTTCCGTTCTCATGGGTGTGCCCGTTTTGGCCATGGGTCACCGTCCTGATTCTGCAAGAGTTTCTAAAGAACTGAGCCTTTACAGTTCTCCTTTGAAATGACCCTCTTCTCTCTCACATAGGTGATTCTTTCACGAGTATCCCGCATACTCTTCGAATGTTATCGAGTAGATCAACATTTTAGAATCATTAAAGCAAACATTTTTGCTAACCTCGTGCGGGAGTCACTGTTTTAACGAGGAGTGGGTAGGAGTCCGGGACCCCCACAGTGACTATCCTTCACTCTATAATTTAGTTGTCCCTTTTGAACCTAGGACCAACTAGGTTGGGTATCCACTATAGAACTTTTCAATTCACGGGCTTTAGTCCCATTCCTCGTGACAACTTCTCCAACAATTCTCTATCCAATGCCTTGGTTCGCGGATCCGCTATGTTATCCTTTGACTTCACGTAGTCAACAATGATAACACCCGTTGTGAGGAGTTGTTTAATGGTGTTATGTCTACGACGAACGTGTCTAGACTTACCATTGTAGATATTTCTCTGTGCCCTTCCAATTGCCACTTGACAATCGCAATGTATGCATATTGGAGGGACATGCTTCTCCCAACTTGGAATATCCTCGAGAAAATGGCGTAGCCATTCAGCCTCTTCAGTGCACTTATCCAAGGCTATTAGCTCAGACTCCATCGTGGATCTAGCTATTAACGTTTGTTTTGAGGATTTCCATGATACGGCTGCACCTCCCAAAGTGAAAACATATCCCCTTGTGGACTTAGAGTCCTTTATGTCGGATATTCAACTAGCGTCGCTATACCCTTCAAGTACAGTTGGATATCTTCCATAGTGCAGTCCAAGATTTTGGGTTTTACGTAAATACCTCAAAACCCTTACTATTGCCTTCCAGTGTTCAGCACCGGGGTTGCTAGTATATCTACTCAACTTGCTAACCACAAAGGCAACATCAGGCCTGGTACAACTCATTAGATACATCAAGCTTCCAATAATCCTAGCGTATTCTACTTGAGAAATACACTCTCCACGATTTTTGGTAAGTTGTACTTTTTTATCTAATGGAGTCCTTGCCTCTTGATAATCATCCTTATTAAATTTCGTAAGGATTTTATCAACGTAATGGGATTGGCTTAGCGTAAGACCGTCAGGTCCTCTAATTATTTTAATCCCAAGGATTAAATCGGTCAGCCCCATATCCTTCATGTCAAATTTAGAATTTAACAAGCTTTTGGTAGAATTAATCATTAGATTATTGCTACCCACGATGAGTATATCATCCACGTATAAATATAAAATGATATAGCCGTCTACCGTGCTCTTCACATAGACGCATTTGTCACTTTCGTTTATTTTAAACCCATTAATTAACATTGCATGATCGAACTTTTCGTGCCACTGTTTAGGGGCTTGTTTCAATCCATACAATGATTTAAGTAATTTACAAACCTTCTTTTCTTGGCTTGGAACACGAAAACCCTCGGGTTGTTCCATATAGATTTCTTCGTCTATATCGCCATTTAGAAAAGCGGTTTTTACGTCCATTTGATGAACTTCCAAATTCCGCAAAGCGGCAATCGCTAGTATCATCCTAATGGAATTCATTCTCGTCACGGGAGAATACGTGTCAAAGTAATCATGGCCCTCACGTTGCTTGTATCCCTTAATTACAAGTCTGGCCTTGTACTTATCGATGGAACCGTCCGGTTTCATTTTCCGTTAAAAAATCCACTTGGATCCCAAAGGTTTATTTCCTGGAGGAAGATCAACCAATTCCCATGTGTGATTTTTAAGGATAGAATCCACCTCACTTTTGATGGCTTCTTTCCACATAGGACCTTCAGTAGACGTCACGGCTTCCGTATAAGTCCATGGCTCATTTTCTACCAAACATGTTAGAAAATCCGGTTCATTTTCTACCATACATGTTAGAATATCCGAGTCAAATTCTACCAGGTAGGTGAGAAAATCCGGTCCGAAGGATTTTTCAACTCTAGCACGTTTGCTACGTCTGGGTTCGGGCTCTTCTCCGGAGCCCTCGCTAGTATTTTCCATAGCTACGTCAAATGTTCGTTTTGACGTGCTTGGTCCTTCGTTGGACTTGCATGGAAATACGTCTTCAAAGAATGAAGCATTCCTTGATTCAGTTATTGTGTTTTTATGTACATCCGGATTATTCGAATCGTACACTAAAAACCGATAGGCACTACTATTTTGTGCATATCCAATAAAAATACAATCCACCGTTTTTTGACCTATTTTTATTTTCTTAGGTGTTGGTACAAGCACCTTAGCAAGACACCCCCACAATTTTAAATATTGATAGGAAGACCGTCTGCCTTTCCACAACTCGTACGGAGTTTTATCATATTTTTTCCGGGGAACCTTATTTAAAAGGTAATTGCTTGTCAAGATTGCTTCGCCCCACATATTTTGTGGCAAGCCCGAACTTACTAGCATCGCGTTCATCATATCTTTCAATGTGCGATTCTTTCGTTCGGCAACACCGTTTGATTGAGGTGAATAGGGTGCGGTACGTTCGTGTACTATACCCACACTAGCGCAAAAGTCACCAATTGGTGCTTCATACTCACCACCTCGATCACTCCTAACCGTCTTAATCCGTCGATTAAGTTGGTTTTCCACTTCATTCTTATAAAGAATGAATTTATCGATTGCTTCGTGTTTATTTTTTAATAAATAAACGTAGCTATAGCGTGTGCTATCATCGATAAAGGTAATAAAATATTTATTACCGCCACGTGTTTGTATTGATTTAAAATCACAAACGTCACTATGAATTAATTCAAGTGGTTCCGTTTTTCTTTCAACCGATTTGAAAGACGTTTTCGCTAGTTTTGCCTCTACACAAACTCCACATTTGTGCTTCACATCAATTGTGAATTTAGGAATGTGCTCCATGTTAATTAATATACGTATAGAATTAAAATTAACATGTCCTAGTCTACCATGCCACACATTGGAAGACTCAAGCAAGTAAGCAGAAGGGATTTTATTATTATTAATAATAATAGTCGTTACATTGAGCTTAAACAGCCCGTCACATGCATACCCCTTGCCCACGTACATTCCCGACTTAGACAAAACTAGTTTGTCCGACTCAAAGACCATGCGGAAGCCATGCTTGTTCAACAATGAACCGGAAATCAGGTTTTTGCGTATTTCCGGAACAAACAGCACTTGTTTGAGAGTCAGCTCTTTGCCCGAAGTCATCTTCAGGACCACCTTGCCCACGCCTTCAACCGCGGAATGAGCCGAGTTACCCATCCACACTTTCTCACCATTTGATGGCTCAAAAGTTGTGAATAACTCCCGGTTCGAGCAAATGTGCCGAGTTGCACCGGTGTCCACAAACCAATCCTTGGAATTGGATCCAACGAGGTTGACTTCCGTAACCACAACCGCTAGGATGATGTCTTCATCCTTTTGCCCACCTTGCACCAAATTCACGTGAGAATCTTTCTTTCTCTTTGGTGCCTTGCAATCCGCGGACTTGTGTCCGTTCTTGTTGCAATTGAAGCATTTTCCATTGAACTTCGTCTTGGAAACGCCTCCCTTGGGACCGAGCTTGCTCTTCCCATTATTTTTAGTTTTGGAGCCCTTTGCATGCTCCACCACATTTGCCTTGGCGCCATGAACAATTGGGAGTTTCCCATCGTTCTTCCGGTTATCCTCTTCAATTTGCAGACGGAGGATCAATTGCTCCAAGTTCATTTCCTTTCGTTTGTGCTTAAGGTAGTTCTTGAAATCCTTCCAAGCCGGCGGCAATAAATGGATAATTGACGCCACTTGGAAAGACTCACTAACTGTCATTCCTTCATCTCGAATTTCGTTGAAGATCATTTGCATCTCCTCAACTTGACTCAAGACCGTCTTTGAATCCACCATTTTAAAGTCAAGGAATCGACCAACAACAAATTTCTTTGCGCCGGCATCCTCGCTTTTATATTTGTGGTCCAAAACATTCCATAGCTCCTTAGCCGTAGCTAATTTGCTATAAACGTCGTACAAAGCATCATGCAGCCCGTTCAACACGTAGTTTCGGCAAAGAAAGTCAGAATGCTTCCAAGCTTCAACCGCGTTGAAAGATTGCG